GCTCTCTACGTGCAGTACGACGCGCTGCGCCTGGAGATTCGGTAGATCTGCTATTTAGGCAGAAGCCGTTTTGTATACACTTGACGCTTGCACATATTCACGAACATGACGATTTGCGGAATGTAATTAAAATATACAATAATGTACATGATGACATGAAAAGAATGATCCATGTGGTGTATTAGTTCACGCGAGGCGCGATTGCTGTCAGCGTACCTCAACGATGTGAAATGTCATTCGGGGCTGGAAGATTGAGACAACTCAATGACATGGGAGTAAATCGCCGCAAGTAAAAACTCTAAAATAACTGACGCTTCCTCGTCAGGTTTCTGAGTGTGTCATGATTCATCACCAGCAGGTTTTACTGAACACACCAAATCTCAACCGCATGAGAGAATAGATTACCCCGAAATAGACCTCCGGGCTGTGACCCTGCCATGCGAGAGTTGGGCCAGCTGAGACGATAATTTATGAGCCAATGCTCACCATTATGAGTGTTCGAGTTGAGAAAGGTATTTCGTGTGAGGTTTCATCTTGCTCGTGCGCAGGTGAATCGACGATATCTCTCGGTCGATTAGTGGACGGAGATGGAGGAAAGCCAAAGACGCACGTCGTGAGCCGTAGAAGTGTATAGAGTGCTGAACATGATTGGAATGGGAAAGGCCACCAGAGCCCAACGCCTTGTTTTGCGCGGGTGAATCAGAACAGTTGGTTATGCTTGTGTTGGGTCACATGCATCTCGATGCGCCTCTCATGAACACGGGCGCCGAAAAACTGTCCGCCACGGGAGAGCGATCAACCAAGATGAAAAAAGTCACAATGCATTGGACTCTTCTCGTGATGATAACGATTAGCTCATATTTTGCGGGAACGGTGCGTATCATGAGCTTGCTTATCAGGCGGCCGACGGCAACGTGTCTATCTGTTCTGTATGCTGTACGTCTTCAAGACCAGGCGTCACGAAAACGAACCTTTCACCGAGAGCAGGATCTTGGTGGTAACGTACTCCTACAACTTCCAGGGTCTATTATGACACTTGACATTGGAAACTCCGGTTGTTTGAAACATGATGTTGCTGAAGAAAGATGGTGAACCTCGTGGCATGAAGACCCCTTGAATCTTGACAACGAACTAAAATGTAACAAGCGCTCCAGGATGAATCTCTCTTTCACAGGGAGTGCGCAGCATCGGCCTTTGCTAGTCATAATGTCAGGGTGCATACTTTCTAGGTGCTTCATCTTAAGGCAAAAGAACATCAGATCAAGATGGACGGGTCAAGAGTCAACAGTACTTGAGAAAATACGCTTGAGATTCAATGCACGATCCGCTATGTCCTCGGACTCCTCAGGAAACCTACGACACCACTGCAGTACCCAACCAGCCCATCCAAGCGAGCGCACTCGCTTTCCTGCATGGCCTTCCACTCTTGCAGCGCCGCCAGCGATGCCTCGTTCTCCATGACAACGTCAAAGTGCAGTCTCAGGAATACAGTCATCCATGCCTGCGTCAGCTCATAGTCCCGACGAGACTTGAGACGGCTTGTCAAAGCCTTGATGAAGTGTACCAAGCCGTTCGTTTCGTTGCCGCTCATGTCACCAATTGACAGGGAGCGGAGCTCGAGGTCTGCCGTTGAAGGAGATAACGATTTCAGGTGTTCGATGAAGTCAACATCTGCAGCCAGGTCAGTATGTCAATTGTGTCAAGAGAGAGAGAAGAAGTGTAAGCTTACAGTCTCCGGAGACGGCGCCATCCATCAGCCTACTGGTAAAGATATCCTGCACGCGTCCAAGCTCGTGCTTCGTGATCCGGGACGTGGATTCGGGTGCCGTGTCTGCCGCACCCTCGAGGGCAGGCGTCGGCTTGCCGCCGCTGGTGGAAGGCAGGAAGAAAGGCGCCTTCTCCGGCACCTTGGGAGCCTCAGTGGGCTTGTTACGTTGCTTGATGAGGTCGAGGTGGAGCAATGTCTGCCAGCGGCTCTTCGGCACCAAGCTCAGGGTCATCATGTCAGAACTGAGTTGATCGATCGCCGGTGCCACGGTAGGATCGTCTTCTTCGGGCTCGGCCTCGTCATCAAATGCCGCCTCGACAAGGCCCTTGCTGCCTTCGCCTGACGCGGTCGGCATAGTCGTTGTGGCCACCTCCTTCTCGGAAATTTGTCTCGTCGGGACATGTTTGTACAGGGTTTTGTTTGTCCAAAGCGTCACACCGAGCTCACCCTGGACAGTCGCAGCCAGGAACTCGCCGGTACTGGACATGGCCAGGGCGGTGCAAGGCTTTTCGAGGCGAATGGCGTCAATCAAATGGCTCGTGGGGAGATCCCAGACTCGGATCACCGAGTCGTCGGATGCGGCAATAACCCAGCGGCCATCGTTTGAGAAGCAGAAGTCGTTGATCTTGCCCTCACAACCCCAGAACTCGCGGATTGTTTTCTTGGTCTCGAGATCCACAACTCGGATGGAAAGGTCATCACAGGCGAACACAAGTAAATCATTACCCGCGTGGTAACGTCCTCCGGTTATGCCGACCATTGGTGCCCAATCGATTTGCTGAAGCAGCCTGCCCGTCAAAAAGTCCCAGAACTTGATCTTGCCATCCAGGGAACAGGAGACAATGTGCTTATTCATGGAATCAACAATGATGCCGGTGACAGCCTTGGTATGGCGACCTGTTCCCTGCAAAAAGCCGCCGCCGGCAACCTGGATCGAGTCGTCGCCTGCTTTGAGCTGCTGGATCCTGATCTCTCGCGCCTGTGCGGGAGTAAGTTTTGCAGGAAAGCGTTGTCGGTGGATGCCGGACTGAAGGTTGTACATGTCAATGCCACCCTCGACGGAACCGACCAGAGCAAATGTGCCACAGGGGCTGATGGCGACCGTTGAGACATGAGCACCATCGCCCGTAGGGAACGCCCAGCGGCCAGCCTTCTTTCGACCCCAGAACCAAGTGCGGGCGAACGAATCGTCAACGTGAGCCGTAACAACACTCTCCCAGCCCGTCATGCCACTGATCTCGGCGTCGAGCCTTTGTGCCTTGTTGTCTCTGCGCTTCTGCCAAATAGGCTGCTTACCGGGAATGGCTCCAATGCCACCGTCGCGGTTGAGCGAGCTTGCAATGCAAGTAATTTCCGGCGCCTTGAGGTCCTCTAGGCTCGTAGTAGGGCCATGGGCCAAGGCGCGCGTTGAAAGAATGCCGTGCTTCTTAGCTTGCTTGCGAATGTTGCCTTGGCTCAGTTCCGTACTCTGACCGTCGCGTCGCAGACTCCAACCCCACAGGCTTCGATCCTGGCCACCACTGAGCAGCCACTTGTTGCCGGCTTCCGCGCCGTCAAAGTCAGTAGGCAGGAACTGCAGGCACTTGACGGGCGCCGCATGACCACTTCGTTGGTGAAGGATTCGAGGGATCGGAGAGAAGGGGGACTCGTCAAACATCCAGGTTTTGAGCGAGTTGTCCATTCCGCTCGTCACAATGACGGGTTGGCCGGACAAAAATTCAATCTTGCTCACGCCGCCACGGACCTTGGCTCCTTCCTCGACCGGAGGGTTGTGGGCGCTACGCAGCACACCCATGACTCTGCCACCGTGGTTCAGATCCCAGAAGGTGACATCTCCAGTGGCAGCAGTGGCGGTTGCCATGACACCGTCTTTGCGTCCATCGTGGCCTGCGCCCATACCGTCGGTGCGGAACGAGATTGCATTAACGGGTTCATATTCGTTGCCGGCATTGACTTGAATGATCGATTTGTCGGTAAGGATATTGTGGACGACTAGCCGGCCCTTCGAATAAGCAATGGCGAGAAGAGACAGCGCCGGAGAAGGTTGCAAGCAAGTGACCGAGCCACAATCGGGCGAGGGTGGAAGGATAGTATAGATGAGCTTGCCAGTGCTCACGTTCCATATCTCCACCCAGCCATCCTTGCGGCCTACAAAGATTTTGTTGAGGTACGTAGGCATGTTGGTGACACCTCCAGTGATCTCGTTGTCGCCCTTCTTGGTGGCTAGGGTGTGAAGCGTCGTGTAGTGCTCCAAGGTTGAGGTCTTCCAGATTTCGAGCCTCGTGGTCGCGCATCCGACCATCCAGGAGCCAAAGATCAAGATCTGCTTGATGGGTTCGTCGAGATCAGCGGGAAGCTCCAGTTCTTCGGACCTTCGACCGCGATGGAAAGACCACAGCCCTTGGTCTTCTCCTCGGCTTCGGTCGCCCCAGGCGGCAAAAACCTTTTCCTTCCAGGCACATGTGGCGGTGATGTCGGCGGGGGTCTGAGGGCGGGTGACGAAGACGAGATTAAGGCCCCTCTTCAAGTCGTAAGTCTGCAATGCTCGGCCAACAGAGGTGGTCACTTGATAGGTGGTCTTTCCGAGGGGTATGGAGGTGAATGGGACATTGGTAGGAGAGACCAGGCCGACTGTCTGCAATGTGTTAGGGTGCCGTGCGCAAAGCGAAAGGAGCTTGAAAGCATACTCTGAAGGGCGCAAAAATGCGTGACGCCTGTTCTGAAGTGGCGGCATCTTTGGCGACAACATTGAGCTTCTGCCTCTTGCTCAGAGGGCCGTCGCTGTCTGAGTGAGGCATCGTCGGCGCAAGCTATAGGGTTATTTGCCGTATGGGCGATGTCGTTTCGTTCGCGACGAATTGGGCTTTGGAGGCACTCGCGAGTCCTTGTCCAGTATTTTTTTCCGCTCGTTATCTTATCATGCCACATGTGGCTGGACAACTTTGGCGGAGTGGACTGTGCCACACCGTGTATTGAGTGTACCTACTTAGGTGGGGTATTTGAACAAGGAGGTACTTTCAGCTGAGGTACCTCCTTGCCATGTAACTGCGATGTGGGTCTCTATACGTACTGTACTACTTTGCTTGATTTGTCTCATAAACCTCTATGTGCATGCTTGTTTTCAGACCTGACCTTGTTAGCCAATCTGAATCCAGCCGTACTGCGTAAACGATTCAAGTGCCTCGCATCATGAGCATACAAAATTGAAATGCCAACACGACTTATCTTGTTTATGCTCTTTCAACCGCTTCTAGAGGGCCGGGCTGTGAACTGGGCCCCATATTCGTATGTCACGCGACCATGATGGAAAAAGGCATTCACCGACCCTTCGGACCTGCTTAGATGCATGCATATGAAGGCCGCTTTCGGTGTCTCATATCCTGGCAACTGGATTGACGTCTTGGCTCATGAGATCATCGTCATATTGCCTACATAAGGTCGCATTTTGATAACCTCACTTGGTTGGCACTGCTGCCAGCCACCAAGAAAAAATATAGGGACAATGCCGTCATACAGAATGGGGCAGTGCCACGCTTAACTTCTCACCAGTTCCTGATTCAAGGTGGGAAGATGGAAACCACGAGGGCCAGAGCTGGTCGGAGGGGCATTCTTCGCACCTATCACAGGCCTCACTGCAGATCCCTGCTTGGTGAAGTTCCTGGATTCTAGACCTTGCCCCCTCCCCCCTCTTCCATTCCCTTGGTTCACCCTTTGCTTGCTGGACCTGCAGCAGTAAACAACGACTATCAGGCAGAGTCTCAACCGCAGCTGCAACGGCAATTGGCATCTTGTGAACTTCCTCTTTCCCTCCTGTCCCATGTGTCATGCCACAGGGGAACCAATTCCGTCTTGCCGGTGACCTATCGCTGTGCAAAGCATCCTAGTTGAAGCGGGGCGGGGCTCAAAAGACACCAACGAACAAAGCGGCGGCCCAAAGCTTGACAGTCGGTCGGCCTTGTCAGAGTTACTCGAGTTTTGCGTCTTGGCCCCGCGGCCGTCGACCCGGAGCGACAAGAAAATGGACCAGCAGGCTCCTTGCACAGGGCGGGCCGTGAACAATTCTTCAAGCCTGTCCCAGTTGCAAACCACATCCACACCTGCATCCCCACCCCGGACGCTCTCGACTCTTGCAAGCTCCCTTACCACATCGTCGTCAGTATTGACCTCGGCCTCTTCTGCGACGTTGGCCTCGTCTGCGGGTGCACCATCGACCTCGTCGACTTCGACCACCCCGACGCCGACACAAGCTGCCACAACGCCGGTGCAACGCCCTCGCGACCGCTCCAAACGCTCTGCCTCTCTTTCCCACACCCTCTCGTCCTTCGCTTCGGGTACAGCTACAGCCCTCAGCAGGAAAAGCCGTCACGCCGAGCCAGGAACCACAGACGCACACGCAGATCCTGCCAGTCTATCTATGCCGCCCCCGCCTCCTCCCTCACAAGCGTCCGGTGCCGCTTCCTCGAATCCCCTCAGAAGCCCTCGTTCGTCTCTCTGTCGTAGCCGCCGCGATTCCAACAAGTCTGTCGAAGCCGGGATCGACTCCGAATCCTTTGCGAGCGACATAGTCCAGAAGAGCCCCAACCCAGACCTTGATGTGACGCGGTCCGGACTTGGCATATCTTCCTCGACTTCGACATTCCAGCCCGACCGGCCCCTCACGACGAGATCGTCCTTCACCGACTCCGACATTAAGCGCGCCTCCATATCATCAGTGTATTCTCTTGCCTCTGCCCGCGGCGTCGCCCCGAGCTCTGCTGCATCTGCCGCCGGATCCGAGACGGGTGCCGCCCCTAGGTCAGTCTCCGGCATCATGTCTTCTGGCAAGCCAGTCGCTGGCTCTGTGCCTCCAAACCCAGAACTGTCCAACGTTACCGTTATGACATCCTCTACAAACCAGCACCTAGCCCCCCGCGAAACCCTTGATGTCATGAAGCGCACACCAGCCCCAGTCCGCACCGACTCGACCATCAGATCGCAACCAACTAGGTCCAGGAGCCGGGCCAAGAGAAGGTTCAGCGGGAGCACAGCGGCCAGCAGCCACAGCCCAAGCAGTGATAGGGGCCCGTATCACAAAGAAAGAGAAGAGGGTCAGTCTGACATAAGTAGCTACCAACGTGTCAGTGCAGCGTCTAATCCCCCTCCAGCCAAGCCCGCGCCGTGGGGTGTTATCGGCATCTGTGCCTTGGACGTGAAGGCGAGAAGCAAGCCCAGCCGGAACATCCTGAACCGCTTGATCGCCAATAGGGAATTCGATGTTGTTGTGTTCGGCGACAAGGTCATCCTTGACGAAGGTATGGGCCCATGGAATGGATGTCTAGGAGGTCCAACGAAAACTATCGGCTGACCAGTGCACAATATCAGACTTCGAAAACTGGCCCATGTGGTAAGAGCTCCCCTTGTTGGCATCTGATGATCGTCGATAGGCCACGCCGTGACGTGAGTTGCCGAATTTCATGCTGATGCAAGTCTGACCTAGTGACTATCTCATCTCGTTCTACTCCGATGGTTTCCCCCTCGATAAGGCCATCTCATACGTTAAGGCCAGGAAACCGTTCTGTGTCAATGATTTACCAATGCAGAAACTCTTGTGGGACCGCCGCCTTTGTTTGCACTTACTTGACAGTATCGGAGTTCCAACGCCCAAGCGACTCGAGGTCAATCGGGATGGTGGTCCCAGTATGTTAACGCCCGACATTGCGAAATACATCAAGGACGTCTCTGGCGTTGATTTTGATCCCGACGAGCCTCGTTGGAGATGCGCGCCCCACAAGGTTGAGCTCCTCGACGACGATGACATACTTAGCGTCGACGGTGCTCTCCTCAAAAAGCCCTTTGTTGAGAAGCCAGTCAGCGGTGAAGACCATAACATCATCATCTACTTCCCCAAATCAAGTGGTGGAGGAGCACGGAGACTGTTCCGCAAAATCGGCAACAAGAGTTCAGAGTACGACCCGGAACTGAACGTTCCGCGCGCCATTCTTGAACCGGAGAACAGCTACTTGTACGAAAAGTTCATGCGAGTTGAGAACGCCGAGGATGTCAAGGCCTACACAGTGGGACCCAACTATTGTCATGCCGAAACCAGGAAGTCTCCCGTTGTTGACGGCGTCGTCCGACGCAATACTCATGGAAAGGAGGTACGTTATGTCACTGCGCTCAACCCTGAAGAAAGGGAAATCGCCAGCAAAATTTCAACATCCTTCGGTCAACGGGTCTGTGGGTTTGACTTCCTGCGAGCCGATGACAAGAGCTACGTTATCGATGTCAACGGTTGGAGTTTTGTCAAGGACAATGATGACTACTACGAGCAATCTGCGAAGATCCTCAAAGATTTGTTTGTCAAGGAGAGATTACGAAGAGGCGGTGTGACGCCTCCCATGCCTTCACCCGCTGTCTCGGATGTGATCGACCCACTGGCTCTGCGAGGCAAAGAGAAGGAGAATGGCCAAGCGTCCGTTGCTGCGCTGCCCATTACGAAGTCAACTGGGCAGCTGCCCGCCAGTCAGTCGGCGGAAAAGGGGTTGCTGGAGCCCAAGACTGACGAACTCCGCCCCCCCCCGTCAACGTTGACCACCAAGTCAGAGACTGCGGCAACCTCGGGCGCCATGAGCCTTGGCTCGAGTCCCTCGTCCCTGCCGCCACCGCCACCCCTTGTTGAGACGGGCCCTGGCAGTGTGCCGTCGGCGACACCATCAGCACTAGCTTCCGCTGCTGCCTCCTTGAAGGGTGATACTGCACCCGAGCCAGAAGAGGCACCGGCTCCTCCTCCACCACCACCACCGAAACATTCTTGGAAGCTCAAGGGCATCGTTTCTGTTATCCGACATGCAGACCGCACCCCCAAGCAGAAGTACAAGTTCACGTTCCACACGGCACCTTTCATTGAATTGCTCAAGGGCCATCAGGAAGAGGTTCTCCTGATAGGAGAAGCAGCCTTGGCTAGCGTCATCCACGCAGTGGATGTTGCAGTGACCCAAGGCATTGAGGACCCGAACAAGCTCAAGTCGCTGCGAAATGCGTTGGTCAAGAAGGGCGGCTGGGCAGGAACCAAGGTTCAGATCAAGCCCATGTTCCGCAAGAAGGCCACCGATGAAGTTGTGCCTCCGGAAGAGGTTGCCCAGATTCTCAAGGAGGGTGTGGAAGCCAAGTTCCCTGAGAAGGCGGATGAAAGTCAATCCAAGACCGATCCAGCAACGAGAACAACGCCCAAACGCCACGACTCACTCTCAGGGGTCACCATGTCCCGCATTACGGCCGCAGAGGAAAGTCTGGTCCTGGACAAGCTCCAGCTTATTGTCAAGTGGGGCGGCGAGCCCACGCACTCCGCCAGGTATCAGGCACAGGAACTGGGCGAAAATATGCGCAATGATTTCATGCTGCTAAACCGCGACGTACTGGACGAGGTCCATGTGTACAGCAGCTCAGAGCGACGGGTGACGACCAGCGCGCAGATCTGGACTTCTTCGTTCCTGGGACGAAAGGATCTCCCTGATGACTTCATTACGATTCGCAAAGACCTTTTGGATGACTCGAACGCAGCCAAGGACGAAATGGACAAGGTCAAGAAGAAGCTCAAGGGTCTACTACGTAAGGGAAACGAGCGGCCATCGCAATTTGCCTGGCCGGACAAGATGCCTGAGCCCTCCGAGGTTCAGACGCGGGTCGTTCAGCTGATGAACTTCCATCGGCGCGTGATGCAGCACAATTTTGGCAAACTGTATAGTGGGGCCGTCAACTCTCTCAATGCCATATCCAACCCTAGCATAGACAAGAGCCAGCCAGGTGAGTCGTCGGCTGGCTCCATGTCGTCCGCCCTGTCCCAGGCCAATGGGATTAACAACATACAAGCCCGCTGGTGTTGCGGTGAAGATGCAGAGCTCTTCAGAGAACGCTGGGAGAAGCTCTTCCAAGAGTTTTGTGATGGGGAGAAGGTTGATCCTAGCAAAATCTCAGAGCTCTACGATACCATGAAGTTTGACGCCTTGCACAACCGTCAGTTTCTCGAGTGGGTTTTCACGCCACCAAAGCAAATGCTCGAGGAGGAGTACGGTATCAAGGACAACAAAGACAGCAAAGAGAGCAGCTTCAAAGAAGGCAGTATCAAGGAGGGCAAGGAAGGCAGATCTGCTGGCAAGGAATCGGAAGAAGCCAAAGTATCGCAAGACTCGCGAGAGGATAGACGGGATATACTGGACAAATCTGACAAGACCGCCGAAGGCAACAAGAGCTCGAGTTCAGTTCGTCGCATCTTCCGTCGACGATCCTTCCTCAATGGCCTACGTCATGTCGGCGAGGGCGCCCCGCCGGAACAGTACTTCCACCTATACAAAGGCAACACACAATCCAAAGCCAAGACGGACGCCAGGTTTGAGCCGCTGCGGGAGTTGTACCAGTTGGCCAAGATGCTGTTTGACTTCATCTGCCCGCAGGAGTACGGCATCTCCGATACAGAGAAGCTCGAGATTGGTCTTTTGACGTCGCTACCCCTCTTGAAGGAGATTGTTCAGGACCTCGAGGAGATGCAAGCCTCCAATGATGCCAAGTCTTTCTTCTACTTCACCAAGGAGTCTCACATTTACACGTTACTCAACACCATTCTGGAGGGTGGCCTTGAGACGAAGATCAAGCGGAGCACCATCCCTGAACTGGACTATCTCTCGCAGATTTGCTTCGAGCTCTACGAATCAGAGACAAAGTTGCCAGCTGATGTGGCCACCCGCGGCGATGAGGCTACCTTTGCGTACAGCATCAGGATCACGATCAGCCCTGGCTGCCACGTATACGATCCTCTCGATGTTCAGCTCGACAGCAAGCACTCCATCAGCTGCGCCCCTCGACGAAGCTTGACCTTGCATGCCGATTGGATGGAGGTGATCCGCACCTTGCGTGCCAAGTTCAACCAGTGAGTGTTATTCCTTGTGAGATCTCGGCACGATGTCACACCCACAAACGAGGCGCGCGTTGTCATGCTAATTCTTCTGGTCTACCAGGGTGAAATTGCCCAAGACTTTCCTGGCTATCAACCTGTCTGATCTCTTCTCATATGATGAGCAAGAGAAGAAAGACGTCGATTCGGACGGGCTGGAAATGAAGAGCCTCGCACGCCAATCTGCTCCCAAGACCGTCCCGGGAGAGGCCGGCGATGTGTCTGGCCTAAGCGATATCACCGCGGGTGATGTGCTCGAGAGCAGCACGGAGCTAGCGATGACACCGAACGCAGGACATGGCCAGCCGTCCGAGCCATCGCTATAATTACGAGGAGGACTGCATATCTGGCGCCCTGACGCGTGAGCGTCAATGTGGACACACGCGCGACACGGGCTGTGGGGGCAATGCTTGGACAAGTTGATCTGATCCTGACCTCCTCCTGCAGGCGGGCGCGGTTACCAAAATGAGGAGGGCATAGGTGAGACGAAAAGAAAAACAGGCAATAGACACAACAATGCGCATGACTACCGACTATTTTATCATTATTCTGGATCGCCGGCTGTTGTATATCCGGTTTAAAGAGTCTGGACGACACGCGTATTTGGGGGAAGGCTTTGCAAAGAACGACTGTACGTGGATGGAGGCAATCATGGGTTTAGTGTTATCCAAGGTGCGTCACTCTCACGATTAGAGGTACGTAGACGTAGATCCATACACATGGCATCAATCATAAACCATTCAATCGTCAAGAAGAGGAGGAGAAATAAATCGAGGTGTTTTCGTGTAGTTTCTTCTTGCGGGGGGTTCTTTTTGGGAAGTGCACGCAGCCCCGGCCTGTGATGATCGGAATGGCTTCCAAGGGAGCTGTGACGTGGACAAAACGAGGAGATGCCGCAGGTTGTATGACGGGCGAGCCGGAGCCGAGCTCGGATCGGGCAACTGGCCCATCGAGGCGGCATCGTGACAAGGCTGGTTGCCGGTTCCAGACGGAGAGATTGGGGCAGGAGTGACTGTCGCAGGTGAGCCGATGGAGAATTTTCTGCGGCGGAGCAGTCAGCACATCGAACGAAAAGTCTGGCTGATGACCCTTGTGGGATACGATCTGGATAGCAAAGCGGGTATGAGGCCCTGTCTTGGATGCGCGAGAATTGGGTTGGTGGTCAGGTGATTGGGGAGGGGGGGCCAAAGCAGGCGGGCGAGCAAGACGACCGCCCGCGTGCGCACATCGGACGAGGTTGTCCCCGGTGTGTGAAGGGTGTCAGGCTGCGGCCGACAGTGGAGATGACAATGGCGGTGGGTGGGTGCGCCTTTGCTTTGCCGGGGGGGTGGGCTGGCAAGGGGGCGAGAGGAGAGGAGTTTTGAGGATTTTAGGGTTTCTGGAAGGCCATATGGGCCGCTCGCGCCTCGAGCTGTTGTTGCAAGAAGACCATGACCATGTCGAGCCATGTGGTTGTCACCAGGACAAGCGTCCGGCGGTGGTCAAAGAGTGGTGTGTCAAAGCTCTGCTACCTTGCTTTCCTTTTCGTGGGAGAGAAAGCAGGGTGGTGGGTGACGGGGGGCGGAAATACCCATGCTTGGGCCGCCCACCTGTCCAGCGCTCAGGTACCTCGCCTGCCTACCTAGGCACCTGAGGTACCTAGGTAGTACCTTAGGTGCCTAGGATACTGGGTAAGGGGGGGAGAAGGACATACTTACATGCCTGCATGCCCCAGATGCCAGATGCTTGGGTGGAGCTTGCAGGGTGCTTTCTCGCTGGTCGCCTGTCACTGTTCCTTCGCGCGGGCGCGTGCTCCTCCTGCAACTCTGTATTTCCTCGGCACCGAACCCCTGGACAGCGAGATCATTACAATCCCGACAGTGAAAAAGGCGTTGATCGTGGTCCTGTGTTGCACCCTTCATCTCTTGACGAGAGACGACATGCCGGCGATCGCATGTAAGCATGGCCATGATGGAGGGTGTGGCTTCAGCTGCAGAACGGGGTGTCGATCGATGGTTCGTCTGACGTTGCGGATGGGCGGCAAGCACTCATTTGCAGCACATCTGGGGGAACAGGGCCGCTCACTCGTTTGATCTCTCCACCGCATCTCACACCTGCCTGCCTCTGCCTCGCCTTGCTACATGTACCTTCCCATGCACGTACCAACCCTGTCATGGGCTCAGTTCTTGCCAGTCAACCGGAACTGGTGCTTGCCAGGAATGATGAGGCGTTGAGCCCAAAAAGACCAAAAGGAGGAGGGCACAGGTTTAGCTCAGGTGGTGTGTCCTTAACCAGCAAAGTGCAGGTGCCGCCCTCGACGCCTCCAACGGTGAAGCACATGCTGCTGCAGGTCGACCCTTGCTGCAGGTCACATCGTGCTACGGGGCGATGGTACTGTCATCAGAGTCTATCCACATACCACAGACCAGAGACCACGGACGGGCTGGCCAGGTCGGCATGCTTCTCAGAGCTGCTCTTCGGCATTCTCATTATCATGACGCCGTGATCCGGTGTATAGTGCCGTCGCCGGCGAAGCCTCTGCTGCTCTTGCCCTTTGAGTGACAGGATTTAAGTTGTGGTTCGTGGGACGTGCCGAGCCATTTAGCGATTGGCATCGAATCCAGCGAGGAGGGGCCATTGTAGACTAAAGGCCAAGGCCATATAGAGGACGGGAGGGGTTCGCGCAATCATCTGATATCCGGGCATATCAACAACAGGCCTACCTGGATCTCTTTCCAAGAGTCGACAAATGAGTGACAACTAAAGCAAAGTAAGCCACATTGGGACTTGTGAGTTACCCTCATCATCCCTGTCACTCGAACCACGGATCATCGAGTCGTGTGGACTGTGAATCCCAAAGTACCTACCCTCCTGGCCTCGAAGGTCATTTTAGAGAGAGACGAGGGGGTCGAAGAGGGTGTGGGGAGGGAGGTGCGCAGGCGCATGTTGAGAGAGTCACGTCATGCCACAAATAGAACGTGACGACAGACGAGAGTACGTGCAACGGGCAACCCCACGAGAAGGTTACATGACGACGATAACCGATGATGACGAACAACGACGACGTCACGTTTGATATTTTGGGGTCGGAAAAGCACCGGGCAAGAGCTTCGACAGCTGCTGACACAGTTTCAAGCCTCGTGATCCCGATGTGGATGGCAGTCACCTCCTGCTTGAGCGAGGGGCCCCATCTCCCCGCTGTCTCCCCATCCCTGGGAGTCATTAACCTCTGACATCGAATTTGACTGCATCGTAACCGCGCGTCTTCTCCCCGCACGCCCCCCCCCCCCCTTCCTGCTCAAGCCTCAGTGCCAATTCGATGGGACACCCCTCCCCTTCCGAATCCCTTCTCATATCGGATCGATTCCGCCTACGGTCTTGTCAGTACGCCGCTTCGTCAGCCTCCTGATGCTACTCAAGGGCAAGGTCAACATGCCGTAGCGCCCTGCAGCCCGGTCCGTCCTTTCGTTCTGTGCGTGAGGTCAGGGTAGTCGGTTGTTACACATCACAGCTTTACCTTTCGATAGACCATGCGCAGTAGGCCCAATCTATCCTGTTGGATGCACCTTCACTCGCATCCACATGCAGCCCACCTTACCAAGCCCCGCCTTACTCTTCTCGGCACTGGGAACAGACATCAGACGAGCCGCGCCGAGCCCTGTTCCTCAAACATGGGCCATCTCGTTCAAATCGTGGCGCGAAAAGGGAAGAAGAAAGAAAAATTAGGTCCGATACTACCTGCTTTGGCCTGCGCTTCGCGTGGAACTCGACTCGAGTGCAATGGCGAAAAAGACAAGAGACGATTCGCCCCCCCCCCCGCCCCCAACCTGGACAACGTGCCTGTCGAACAGGGGAAAAGCTGTCGTCGTATTCAACGTCCCGTCATCACCCCGACCCGCCCCTGGCCCGTCTGGTTCGAATGTCTGGTCAAGCGGAGATGACGGACAGAGATGGCCGACACGAACGACCAGCTACCATGTACCTCCGCTGTCTGTTGAGGGCCGCGGCCAGCCACACACTAAAGATGTCAAAGTCAAGCCTCCAATTACCGAGAAATACGATGCTACAGTGCCGCCCCTCAGCGTCAGGCCGCCAGCTTCGCCTTGTCAACGGCGCGCCTTGCAGGCGTGCGAGACTCGAGGCGAAACGGCAAGACAATCGCTCTGGACCATGGTCGGTTCTGGCACGCCACCCTGCAGTTTGGTTGCTTGCTTCGAACGGTACACCACGAGCTTTACCCTTCATGAGATTGAAGGGAGCTCTTTCTGGTATCAATGCGGTCGCAGGTCGCAGAATGGGCCCGCCCCCCGAACCACAGCCAGACCAAAATGGGATCATCGTGAGGCGCCTGCAACTGCAAGGGCCCTGTTGTAACTGTCGATCTGATACGCGCACCATGGCAGGCATGGCGCCCAGGAACACGCCGATCTGCACCCTGGCTCACTTTACTGTGGTGAACTTTGTATTTGCACATTCCCAGACCCGCTGGACTGCTTGCCGGCTTGTGAACTTCAAGCAGCGGGAGGGCCACAGTTCCACCTTTCTGCAGTACAGCTGCTGCTTGGTTTGTTTGGGTGTCCCGGATGGACCTGAGCCCGGCCTTGATTAGTCGGAACGAGTTAAGTCCAACGTGCTAACTACCCATTGCCCACTTCAGGGTCAGGGTCTGAGGCCTGGATCTGATAGACGATGCAAGCAAAGGCAGGCAGCCAGCCAGCAACCCTGCAACGGACTAGCTGCTGTTAAAAGTGACAAGAGCCATGGTGGTTCTAGGCAAAGGCCGATCGACGGACTGGCTGCAAGGCTGGGGCGTCAGGATATTCCCAACCTCGCACGGCAAGGGTGCCGATGCGAAGACATCATGATCAAGTCCAGGTAGATCGCCAAGTTGGCTATCAGCCACGAAATGCCATGCCCCTCGGCCCATCAATCATCCCCAAGATCAGAGACAACCACAATACACCATGCTACATCGGGAAAACCCCTCCTTCTGCTAACCCCCCCTGTCGGATCACCCCAGCTTGTCTGGACGGCTTGGTACGCTAAGGTAGGTGGTCATTGGGCCACGGCGGCATTTCGCGGCGCGGCGCGGCTAACTGACAGCCTGCGACTCCATCACCATGCCATGGTCAATCAGCCTCTGGCTACCAGTGGTCAGGCTGCTAGGTACTGGGTCGTCAATGCAGGGCTGGCGCGGGTCTTGACAGGGTTGGTGAGGTCGGAAGCAGCACCACTAGAGGGGTCCCGCCCCAATAGAAGGCAGAAGAACATTGGATGTCTGTACGGACACGCCATCGCGAGAGTTGGAAGCCGGCCAGGTTCAAATTCTGTTGTCGTCTTGCAAGTG